CCATTAGACCTACTGTACCTGGGATATTGCCAGCCAAGATAGGCACTTGCATTAAGGTAACTGCTCACTTGTGGTTGGGGAGGGACCCAGCCAGGCATAGCTAGGTCATTATGAGCTTTTCAGGTTCTCAGGTCTGGAGCCAGTTTCTACGTCCCACTATCTTCATCCTCTACCCACCTTCTGCTTCCTACTGGGCTGTGGCATAGACTGGCTGAACCATGGTGATAGAGGATTGGGCTTGAGACTCCTGGGTCAGCACTAACTAGGCCCAAAGAGATTAAGAGAATGGGACTATGGCTATAGGTGTGGTAGAGTGCCTACTAAGAAGCCCTAAGTTCAAATCCCAGTACCTCCAAAAGCCAGAGACCAACTAGGGATATTTGAGATAGACCAGACACTGCCTGCAGTTAGATACTGAGCTGTAGTGCCAAGATCTTCAATGAACTGTAGTCAGGAACACTGAGCAGCAGAGAACAGTCCTTGAAGAGGCGCTGAGGATGGTGCTAAGCCAAAGAACATGCTGAGCTAACCCTGATAGCATCATTCTCTTGAGTTTCCATAACAGAGTCGTCTCCTGCCCTGGTTCAAGCTGTCTGACATTTGGCTCAGCCTTGGTCCTAGCTCTCCAGTCTCTCTGCAGAGACCCGAGCCAGACTTCAGGGAGAGTTTAGTGATAAATGAAGAGTCTGCCTATAGGTGGTGATGGTATAGACGGGCACAGAACATACAAAGGAAAAGCATGGCGCATGAACCAGATAGTGAGAAGTTTGCTGAAAAACTACAGATTCCACATGGACACTTGGAAAGAAGTCCAGAGAAAGAGGCAGGTGCAGGGTCAAGTCATCACCCCAAGCCTGGAATGCCAAGCCATACATTTGAGCTTTATTCTGTGGTCAGGATGAGCCAGTGAAGGTTTCCAGCAGAGTAGAGTATGCTGAGAAAATCCTGCAGTGTAGAGGGCATATTAGCAGCAAGAAGGTCATTCTCAACTTCCATCCTTGACTATCCCAGAAACTAGCATGCACCATTGTATCCACTAGAAAAATGAGGAAACAAGACTTGGAGAAGCAAGGTGGTTGTCTAAAACTACACAGTAAGTCACTAACAGCACCAGAGACCACACTTGGCTTAGCCTGTTTCTCACGCACCTTGCTCACAGGGAGACAAGCCAACCTAGTCCCAGAGAGACAGAGAAAGTGTGTGCACAGATACACACATGTTCTCCATACTTTCTCTTTTTTTTCTCTCCTAGTGCTCCCACCCAGCTGGCCCATTGCCGGGTTCCCTGCCCTGAGACAGGTTAAGGGGTGTGGCTGTACCCCAACCTCATTCACACCCTCACTGGACCTGACTGGTTCTAGCTGGAGTCACTCACCAGTGTGTGCTGCCCAGGCACCAGCTAATAAACTCCAACCCAACACTATGGGCTCTGTGCCAGGGCCACTTGCCCGTCAGGCAATTTCCCAGCCTGGTAGCCACAGATAGGAGATTAGGTGGACCCTCTGCAGCCTGGCAGGTGGGAACTGTAGGCAGCTGGTGCAGCAACCATGAGCTGGATGACTCCAGGGGACAGGTTGGGGTTGGGGAGGTGACCTTGGTACCTGGGTCTTGCCAGTTGCTTTAGCTGTTTTAGCCTCCAGAGGACAGTCTACGCCTATCCTTCCAGCCTTCCCAAATATGATCAGCTTTTCCAGAAACCAACACAACTGCCTAAGTCAATTGGGAAGTACAGAATATGAGGCCTAAGACATGACTGGTTGCTTCCCACAGATAGGAACTACAGTCCTCATAGGGTAGACCTTGGAATTTCAGCATAGTCAGCTTTTCTGGTCACAGGAGACTTGACTCCTGGAGGGTCTGAGAGGACTATCACTCTATAGTCAGGGTTGGTCTGCTCCCAGGCCATCTGATTTCTGATTCTGTTTACTAGGCTTCACACTCCCCTTCCAGGCTTCTTTTTTTTTTTTTTTTGGTCGGTTGTGGAGCTTGAACTCTGGGCTTGGTCACTGCCCCTCAGCTCTTCAGCTCAAGGCCAGTGCTCTACCACTTGAGTCACAATGCCACTTCTGGTTTTCTAGTGCTTTATTGGAAATGAGTCTCACAGACTTTCCTGCCTGGGCTGGCTTTGAACTGTGATCCTCAGATCTCAGCCTACTGAGTAGCTAGGATTACAGGCGTGAGCCACCAGCGCCCGGCTCTTCCAGGCTTCTTTATCTCTGAACTCTCCTAGTTTTTTGGGTGTTTTTGTCACTCCAGTGGTCACCTTTCAGCTCTCCCCTGTGCCCAGTTTGTCTAGTGTTGCTGGTCAGGCTGGACCTGATCTCATGGATTCCTGGGTCTCATCTTTCTTGGAATGGCTGAACCTACAGGTGCAAGTCAGCTTAGTACATGCATCTTAGTGTACAAAACTTGTCATGCCTCCCAGACTCCTCCAACAGCTTAGAAGAATAGTCTCTGTTGATCCTTAGTCTTGCTTGATCGTGCCACAGGTAGACCCTGAGGGGTTCTGAATGAAGGAAGTCCTTGCAAAAGAGCTCCCTATGCAGACCATGGAGAGGTGTAGCCTGGCTGGCTTTATGAGTGAGTGTTGAGAGGGATCTGAGGTTTGGGCTGATCTTTCCTTATGTCAAGCAGATCCAATTTGCTTGGGCAGGAAGTACTTGTTCCCACCAGCAGCCCGTGTGCCCAGCCGTTGCACTGTGAGGCTGACGTCCACATAGGCAATAACCATCCTTCAGCCGAAGCTGGGCTGACAATTTAGTTCCTGCTGTGTGATGGCTAGGGGCTACCTGTTCTGCAAGGTGGTGGGGTACAAGCAGGGCTGAGTAATCAGGCCAGGCCATCTTCATGAACTCTCAGGAGTAATTTTTCCTCACTGACCCATGGACACCTGATTTTGAGGCCCAGGAACAGGAGGTTTGGGGAGATTAAGAGGAATGCAGAGCATCAGGAAGAAGACAGAACCTTTGTAGGGTGAAAGGGTGGAGGACATGTACCCGGAAGCAGACATTGGGTCAGAGACTGTTCTTTCATTCCTGGATAACAGCCAAACATGGCTGATTAACTGAAATTGGTGGACGTTTTAGGTGCTTGGCCACAGAGGTGCACTGGCTCGTTTCTATACCATAAAAGAGGCTGAGGAGGGAAATGGGAAACTGTGATTTGGAGCCTAACAAGGCCCCCAGTCCCCTTTGTTTGCACTGAACAAGTTCCCTGCCCTGCACAGGCCTACCTAGAGTCCTTCTACAAGTTCTGCACCCTATTGGGCGGGACCACAGCTGATGCCATGTGCCCCATTCTAGAGGTGAGTGCCTGCCCACCTTCTTGCCTTTATAGTCTCCACTTCCTCAGGTCTGGGAGAAATTCTGCCAACTGACTACAACTTCTCCCGTCCTCCCTCTCTCCTTGCCTATGCACTGGCCCCACAGTTTGAAGCAGACCGCCGCGCCTTCATCATTACCATCAACTCCTTCGGCACAGAGTTGTCCAAGGAAGACCGTGCCAAGCTCTTCCCACACTGCGGGCGCCTCTACCCTGAGGGCTTGGCTCAGCTGGCTCGGGCAGATGACTATGAGCAGGTCAAGAATGTGGCTGATTATTACCCAGTGAGTACCCTGGCTGGCAAGATGGTGGGTGGGCATGTTGGCACTACGCACGTACCAGTACCACCCTCATGCTCATGTTTCCCATTGCTCCCTGGCCAGGAGTACAAGCTGCTTTTTGAGGGTGCAGGCAGCAACCCTGGAGACAAGACCCTGGAGGACCGGTTCTTTGAGCATGAGGTAAGCATGGGTTTTACAGGGCCTACCCAGCATAGGAAGGGTTGTGGCTTAGGCTTGACTTTGGCCAGGGCCATCTATATACCATGACTACCTCTGTCCACAGGTAAAGCTGAACAAGTTGGCCTTCCTGAACCAGTTCCACTTTGGTGTCTTTTATGCTTTTGTGAAGCTCAAGGAGCAGGAATGTCGCAACATTGTATGGATTGCTGAGTGCATAGCCCAGCGCCACCGCGCCAAGATCGACAACTATATTCCCATCTTCTAGCATCCTGACCTCACTCAAGTGCACGATGTGTATTTGTGTGTGCTGTGATGAAGCCCATGGCTCACCTGGTATGGGCGAGGGAGGGGGAGGCTCAGGAGGGTAGCACCTTGTCCTAGGGGCTGCCCAGGTTCTCTGACGCCCTCTGGGACTGCTTTTAAGCCTGAAAAGGGGCTATTGACCAGGAATGGACCAACACTCACCCCCCTCTCCCCCTGAGAGTAATGAGTCCCCCTTCAGCCCTATGTTTACAGCCACTAACATGTCTCAGAAGCATGTGGTCACTTTCATGTATCTCCCTGATTTAGAATCCCTGGGAGTAGTGTGAGTTTCCTCCTCTGTCTGAGGGTCAGCCCCAGAGTCATGGCCCATGGCAAAGATGTATGTGTGTCCTTGGGATGTTGGGTAACTAGCTCTGCAGCACCCTTCCTCAACTGTCACTGAAACAATAAAACTGCCCTCCCTACGCCACTGTCGGCTGCCTCATTTGGACCCTAGTACCTATTCTAGACCCCTGGCTTTCCTCATGATCCTTACTGAGTCCACCCTACAAAGCCAGCAGCCTAGATTCTTCAGGGTCGGTGAATTCCTAGAGGATAGTCGCCCTTTGCTGGAGACACAGATGCAGAAATAGGCCTGGGAGCTGGTTCTCACTCTGGAGGGCTCCAGAGCTCCGGAATTGTTTCACTGAGCCCTATAACCCCTGCAATCAGTGTCATTACCCGCTTTTCCTGAGGAAAACCAGACCTAGAGATAAGTGATTTGCCTAAAGCCAGTGGAGGAGTAGGGGTGAGAACTGCAGTGGGCCAGGGAAGCCTCTCAGGCCCATGCCAGCCCAGGCCCCATGCTGAGCCCCAGGAGCTCTCAGGCGGTTCCCAACCTCTGCCACACAGCCACACCCTGTCACCCAGGCAACCAAGCAGTCACCTCTTCCAAACACTGCATCTCCCCCACTGTAGGAGAAATAAAAATTTGTCTTTATTTAAAATGTAGCAAGTAGGGTATGCAGCTTCCCTGTGGCTTGGAGGTGGGTGGTGAGGGGGTCCTAATTCTTGAACCAGTCAAGAGGCAGTGGGATTTACCCTGGAATTGCAGCACTGAGGCATAGGTGCCAAGAAACAATCCTGAGGAGGTTCCCCAACCCACCCAGTCACTCTTTAGTTTGCAGAGGCACTGCCGTAGGGTCCTGTCAAAGGTTACAGCTAAAGTCATGTACTATCCTTCCCATCCAGCTGGGTTTTCCATGCTGCAGGGAGAAGCACTGATCCTGGAAGGTTCATGTGGACTCACCAAGCAGTGGAGAGACCAAGGCTCTCTGGGAAACCTTAGCTTCCTAGGCCTGGACCAGGCGTTGGCAGTTAGGGGCTTGGGTTTCTTTATAAGAGGCTCTAGGGCAGACTTGGGGTTCATAACGGCCAGGAGAGAGCCAAGGGCTCCCATACTGGAGCAGCTAAGCCATTTGTGCACATATCTCACCGGGCCACCATTGGGGAAGGGTCTAAGTTTGGGTTTGTTTCCCGGGATATATCCTGGGCAGGGATAGGGCCTGGCTGGCCAGGCCGCAGTGCTCGGGGCAGGCAGTGACTGATGAAGTAGGCCTGTAGGAAGCGGCGACGGAGGCCCTCAGGCAGGTAGTAGTGGATGAAATACATGAGCCCCACGCCACGGCCTGGGTAATAGCGGCGACGTGGCCGAGCTGCCAACAGGGCATCAGTGATGGCATCTATAACTGGGCTGAGGTCGGGCAGTGCCATTTGAAGTGAATGAAGGAACTGCCCATGCAAGTGCTCGATGTAGTCTTCACCATAGGCCTGCAGCAGCTCTCTAGGCATGTTGGCCAGCAGCAGTTGCTTCCGCTTCTCCCAGTGATTCACATTTGTCACTGACTCTGGGAAAGGGGTGGGAAGGTCAAAGGACAGTCACCTGGAGAGCCAAAGACCTCTCACTGAGGCTAACCCTAGCCACATCTTGGGCCAAAGCTAGGTCTGCCCCCTCAGCTCTTCCCCAATCTGTAAGACCATGCACATCCCTCCTTTCCCAGCTCCAGGTATTCCCCACTCCTGACCTTGACTCACCTGTCTTGAAGCATCCAGGCTGGATGACACTGACCTTGATCCCCCAGGGAAGCAGTTCACAGCTGAATGTGTCCATAAGCAGAGCTATGGCTGCCTTGGAAGTTCCATAGGCTGCCAAGCATGGATATGGCATGTCTCCTAAAGACAGAATAGGAGATGAGGCAACTGAGCCATGGGAGGGGCTTGCCCTCCCTCACCCTGCAAAGGCTCCTTTCCTGCCCTGCTCCAGAGGGGAAGTACACTCACCTGCTGGACTGCCCATGGTCACAATTCGACCCCTTGAGCAGCGCAGAAGCGGCAAGAGGCCCTTGGTTAGCTCAAGTGCACCAAAGAAGTTCACCTCCATGCAATTGCGGAACGTGGCCACAGGAGATAGCTCCACATCTGCCACTACATCATTGAGGCCAGCATTGTTGACCAGGCCCCACAGGCCTAAGGGCACAGAGACAGAGGAAAGCCTCAGATCAGCCTAGCAGCAAATCTGCAATCCTTGCTGACCCAGCCTTTATCCTGCCCAGCCATGCATTCCCTCCCATAGTGGAGATGTGCTCACTGACCAGTGCTGGCGGTATGAGCCTTGGTGAACTCTAGCACACGGCTAATGTCTGCTGGCTTCGTCAGGTCCATCTGTAGCAGTTTTAGGCGTGGGGAACAGCAGGCACGTAGCTCTAGGGCACCAGAGCTATTCAAATCCAATACAGTGGCCAGCACTGTGAAGCCCATGGCGTCCAGTTTCTTGGCTGTCTCCTTGCCAAAACCAGTGTCACAGCCTGGCCAGGGCAGAGAAACCAGTGAACTCCCACTGTGGCCCAGACTAGCCCAAGACAACCAAAGAATCAGGGTATGGGTGGGATCCAGGTTCTTATCCCAGTAGCAGTCAACAGCCCTCCCTTCTTCCCTATAGACACTTCTGACAGGCTTTGCCCTTCTGATTGAGCCCTAAACACAAATTATGACAACTATCATCTCCTTGACTGCTCATAATTACCCCATCCAACATGGCTCCTGATTCTCATTTCACAGAAGAAATAGAGACCTCATCCATATTGCTTCCTGAATCTATCCTTTACCTAAGCATGCAGAGGGAGTTTTCAGAAATGATAAGATCACTGTACACTGGTGGCTCACGCCTGCTATCCTCGATACTCAGGAGGCTGAGATCTGAAGATCAAGGTTCAAAGCCAGCCTGGGCAGGAAAAGTCTCTGACTCTTATCTCCAGTACACTATTCAAAAGGCTGGAAGTGGAGCTGTGGCTCAAGTGGTAGAGTACTAAGCCTTGAGCAAAACAGCTCAGAGACAGTGCTCAGGCCCTGGGTTTAAGTCTCAGGACTGGCATCAAAAACAAAACCAAGCTGGGTGCCAGTGGCTCAGGCCTGTAATCCTTGCCACTCAGGAGGGTGAGATCTGAGGATCACGGTCAAAGCCAGCCCAGGCAGGAAAGTCTGTGAGAATCTTAACTCCAATAAACCACTTGAAAACCAGAAGTGGGGCTGTGGCTCAAGTGGTAGAGCCGCTCACCTTGAGCTGAAGAGCGCAGGGACAGAGCCCAAGCCTAGAGTTCAAGCCCCACGACCGACAAAAAAAAAAAAAAAAAAAAAAGCCAACAATATCACTTTGCTTCTGAAAACTTTCCCGAGGCTCCCCACTGTCCTAAGGACCTTGCCAGCCTCACAATGCAGCCTAAACTCTGGTGCTCTGGAACTTGAGTGCCCATTCCCTTCCCAGATTCATTCCCTCTACTATTATTATTCCAGGCTGTAGGCAAGCTACAGGCCCATCCCCATCTCATCCCTGCCCCGCCCCCCTGGAATTCCAATCAGTGACACCAGGAAGGTATTTTCTGAATCCCAGGCCACTTGCTCACAGGACAAGGACCACAGTGGTACAAAAAACAGACCTGCATTTGAATCCCCCATAACTATTGAATGTGACCTGAGGTCAGTTACTACTCTTGGAGGCTTAATTTCTTGTCCTTGGTATGCAGAGATAAGAACCACCAGGCAGAGCCAGTGTGGGGGTCCCAAGCACTGATAAGCCCCTGCTTCCTTGATAGTTTCCATTCTGATTCTGGCTCCGTGGGTGGCCAGTGAAGGGAGGAGGAGGGCCAGCAAGGGAGGAGGCTCTGTGGAGCTCTCTAGCCCTGGGGTCCTGCTGAGCAGAAAAGCTGCAAAGCAGCTCTGCTTCCCCACTGCTGGATGATCAGTACCCCTCCTCATCTCAGTCCCGCCTCCTCTGCTGAGGCAAGAACAAAGCTGGGCAGGGGGCTGCGAACTGGGCTTTGTGCAGCTGGGGGCCCGCAGGGTCTGTGCTGAGGGGTCCTTCCCAGGCAACTCTGGCTGGGGGAGGGGAGTATGTGCGCACAAATGCAAGCACTTTGCCTCCCAGAGCAGACAGGCCCTCCACAGGAAAACAGACCTCCCAGAGCCTGAGCTCTGGGGCTCCAATACAGTCATGCACATTTTATATACCCTCTTGCTTACCTGCACACACTTAGATACCTGCACATACCGCTAACCTGCCCAGATGTTCACGCATAAAGTTGAACCCTGCCACTTACAGGCATACAGATGTGCACATGCATGCACACAAGGTAACCAGTCACACGACATGGCCCAACCCCCAACCGTGTGGCTGAGCTTGAGGAATAGGCTTGGCAGGCAGTTCTCAGGAGCATTTTCAGGGAAGGGTGGGTAGCAGCTCTGGCAGGTACAAGACTGCCCTTGGCAGGTGGGGTAGGAGCTAGTCAATTAAAATTGTTACAGCCGAGTGGTGATGAGGAAAACTCCAGAGTTTGCAGGAATTGTCAAGTTAGGAGACCACTGCTACTGCTTTCAAAGGGATGGGATGGGCAGTTCTGTTCCCAATCCCAAACCTTCAGCTTTGCAACCGAAGTTGGAAGGAGCCCGGGTCATGAAAGCATCCATCCTCTCTCCCTGGTTCAAGGCTGAAGTGACACCAGCAGTACGATGATCTGAGGCGAGAGCTCAGGAAGAGTCATGAGTACTTGAGATGGTTTTGTAGGATCAGCTCACAAATTAGAAGGCGGGAGAGGATCTGTCCTGTTTCTGGGGGCAAAACCCAAGCCTAGATCCTGCTTCACACCAGATCCAAGATCCTAAGGATCTGGTGGCTTTCTTTCCTCAAATCTCTAAAACTGGAGTTCCTTTAGGCTTCATACTTAGCCTGAACTTGAATCTCTACATTTAACCCAAGTCTTGCTCCAGCGCCATCCTCTGTACTAAAATCCAAAGCCCTTGTGCCACCCCCCTTCTCCACAGGACACGTTTGACTTTGTACCTGACATTTAAGACCCCTCCCAAGAAAACCTCACTTCCCACCACACACTGGCAGCTAGATTGGCCATTAACTGTCTTTTACCCAAACCATGATTATTCCTGCCTTAAGCCGTTGTCCTATACCCTTTTCGTGATCTAAGACACCTCTCTCTACCTGTCTCCCAAGGCCCAGTTCAAGGACCTCCTCCTGAATTCACCTCATCTGATCATGGCGATCACCCCCATAACGGACCAAGGTCTCTGAGAAGTCAGCTTGCTGATTGTCCCCAGCCTAGGTCAAAAGGGGCAAAACCCAAAGAACCGGGTCCAAAGTAGTGGTGGTTGAGAGAGAAACTAGACCACCCCTCCCCCCATGCAGCAGACCGGTGCCCCTTATCCTTTCTCCCCCTCTTCACTTCCTGCTGGGTGTGCAGCCCCCCCTTCCCTTCCCTTGCTCTGATGACAGATTTATTCCCTGTTCCAGACAAAGAGAACTCAGCCAGGCAGCCAGAAGCACCTGAGTCAGATCTCCAAGATTACTTTCCTGGGCATTAAGGACCAGGCACTTCGGGGATGAGATGCTGGGTGCAGACAACTGAATATGATATTTGGTTAGAGGTGGCCGGACCTGAGAGGCAGCTGAATGCCCAGCTGCCCCTCATAGTGGCCTCAAGAGTTTCTAAACTCCAAGAATTCTGGCCAATTGGATGCAGGGACCTCACTACTTAAGCTCTTTCCTTGGCCAGTGAATAGGAGCTGCAGTGTCCCACATGGGGATATCAGACCTTCCAAGGGATGACTGTTTTCCCTTCCGGGGGTCTTCTCAAGTCCCTCAGAGCACTTGTCCCCTGCTCCACTCCCGCTCTTTTGGGGGAGGGAGCAGAGCATGCACCCTCAAACTCCAGGATCCCTTTTCTCTACCGCCAAGTTTCCTTTGAGCACCTTGCCACTCTCCACCTCACTTTTCCCTCCAACACTTTGCACAGCGGCAGGTAGTTAACCGGACTTGGGGAGATGCCCAGCGCTGGCTACTTGGCTCGCTCCCCTGCGCCCAGGGGAGGGGACTCTCACTTCTGCGCCGGGGAGCCCGTCGGGGCCGTTCCCTCTAGGTGTGCGGTCCCGCCCTCGAGCCTGGAATCCCCACGCTCTGCGCACTCACCGGTGATGAGCACCGCGCGAGTGGCCACCGGTAGGCGAGGCGGGCGCGCCAGGCGGGACAACGTGATCCAGCCAGCCGCAGCCAGCACGGCGAGTGCGGCCGGCGGGGGCAGCAGGCGCTGGCACAGCCAGTCGAGCGCGGCCAACAGCGCCAGCGCCGCCAGCAACGGGCGGCCCAGACGCAGGTCTGCGCGCAGCAGCTGCAGCAGCGCGCGGGCCGCCACGAGCAGCCAGGCGCCGCCCGACGGCCAAGACCAGCGCTCCATGGCGGCGGGGCCGGGCTGGGCCGGGGCGGGGCGGGGCGGAGGCTGGGATGAGGATGAAGAGAGTGACTGAGAGGGGTGGGGGACGCGGGGTGCAGGGGGACACCAGCCTGGGGCGGGAGGGATACTCGCTTTCTCCGCGGGCCCTCCGACCCAGCTTATAAAGAGCCCCGGGGGCGGGGCCGGGGCGGGGCCGGGGCGGGGGCAGGGGTGGGGCTTTCCTGCACGGCTCTCCCGGCACCCCCCGCCGGGCAGGTGCCCCCTCCCCCCCAGCCCTGCCCCCTCGGCCAGATCCGCTTTCGAAGAAGCCGGAACAAAGTCCCAAGTTGCTGGGTGAGGCGGAGTTGTTCGCGGCGGGCTGCGCTGGGGAAAGGGCCGGCGGACCCAAGCCCGTGCGCCCTGCATCCGTTCACTCCTGCGCCCCATCCACGCCCCCTGTTCCCCTCCTGAGCTCTGAGCTACTTCGCCCAGGTGAGCACATCCTGCTCGTACCTGCTCAGGACACCTAAAACCATGCGCAACGTCCATCCACATCGATGGTATTGTTGTGGCCGCCAGGCCTTTGGGAAGGAACCCGGCGCCTCGGAACCAGCCTGCCATTGCCTGCCTGCCGCCAGCCACACCCGCACCCACACGCGGTGCACGGCTGAGGGTCCCTGGTGTACGCGTCCTAACGCACACTCACAGCTGAGCAGCTCTGAGCCCCAAAATCTTAATGGGACAGGGGTTGGGGGAGCAGAATGACTACCCAGGGTCTTCAGAATTCAACCTCTCCTCCCTCCCTTCTCTCCAGGGCCCAGCACTGGGATATGCAACCCCACCTCAATAGGTTGTCAGAGGAAGTTTCTAGATCTTTCTTTACCTTTGTCTTTCCCCTTCATCCTCCACCCTGAGCCAAATTAATAGCAGCATCTGGGGAGTTCCTGAAGACAGCCTGTAGGCCAGGGTGGTCTGCTGTGTTCTGCTCCCCTGAATCCTCAGGGGATAAAATAAGTGGTGTGTGGGTGCGTTTCCCTCCATATGTGTATGAAGGTCCTTGTTTGTGTGTGGCCAGACACCCCCGTGTCTGGCACCTTGTGCCTAGCAGGCATGCCAGGGCTGTGCCAGGGACCGGGAGTTGGTGCCAGTACCTGAGTGCCAGGCCCTATGGAGAGAAGAGTAGGTGTAATTCATGGCAGTGGAAATCCTTGCTCCCAATGAGCCTAGCCAGTGCTGCATCCCTGCCCTCTCTAGCTCCTGAAAGGTCATGGACTCCTTGTCACACAGCTCCCAGCTTAGTGCCTCTCTCCTACGCCCAGATTTCGATAGGTTTTTACTCCAAAGCCATCTCAGCCACCCAGGCATAGGCTTCTGATGGGCCACAGAGATCTCAGGGAGGGGGCTTCAAAGCCAGACCCACTTAAGGAGAGAACCCATCTCCACCCAGAGCCTCTCTTGTGCCTCCATCTGTCGAAGTATGGATGGCAAGCCAGCCCTGGCCTGGGAGGCAAGATTTGCCCAGGTGTGTGTGTGCCTGACCTTGGATACTTGACCTTGTGTGCCTGTATACACTCTTAGGTTATGGGGCTCATGGCTTATCTGTGCCACTTGGTTATATAATTCCCTATACTATCTCCCTGGGATGCATGTACATATTTGTGTGTATTCTGTGTGTTTCTGGTAACTCTGGGTCATCCTGCCTCTGGAAATTCAAGCAAATATTCCCCCCACCCCCACCCCACCCCACTCTTGTTGCCCTGAACCACAGTACCCTTTGCCTGGCTTCCTGCTTTAACTGTGGGGCTTACATTGGTTGGGCCCCTCAGATCTATCTACCCCATCAAGAGTCTGGATGGGACTGGGAATGTGGTTTAGTGGTAGAGTGCTTGCCATGCATGCAATAAGCCCTGGGTTCTATTCCTCAGTACCACATAAACAGAAAAAAAAAACAAAAACTGGAAGTGGTGTTGTGGCTAAAGTGGTAGAGTGCTAGCCTTGAGCAAAAGAAGCTCAGGGACGGAGCCCAGGCCCTGAGTTCAAGCCCCAGAACTAGCCAAAAAAAAAAAAAAAAAAAGAATCTAGCTGTAGAATTTCCAGTCTCAGCCCATTTAAGGACTTCTCTTCCTTATGGTTGGGGAAGGAGAGAAGAGGGGAAGGAATCTAAGGAACCCTCAAGGTCAAAGCCACACAGACAGTACCATACTTGCCAGAGCAAGAGTGGTAAGAAATGGAGTAGGGGAATGGAGGCAGAAAAGCAAGGTGAAGAAATTGAGAAACAAGATCTTATCCTGGTCTTGTGAAGAACCCTGAAGGATCTTGACTCATCAGGAAGTCCATAATGATGAGGTAGAAGGAATTGCCTTTGGTTGTTGAGTATAGATTGGCTTAGATAGGAAAGTGGATATTTCCAACTCAGCTTTTGAGACACTGACACATTTGAGTAAGATTTGGGTCTTGGTGAAATTAGATTCTCTGCCATATTATTCTCATGTATCCCATTTCCTAGGCTAGGTGGCCCATTCCATCTGGATCTGTGTTCCAGCCCCCTGTGGCCACCCTTAGTCAGGTGGAGGTACTCTAAAAGTGAAAGGTGTTTCAGGTAGTCATATTGGGAGTGGCTGGCCCAGCCCTGTCTGAGGCTTGGTGCCTGGCTGCACCTGCCTAGGGGCAGAGCAAAAGCCTTTGCCAGAACCAGGAATCTAGGCTGGTAGGGCCTCCAGGGAAGAGGAGGAAAGGGGAGCAGAGGGCAGGCGCCCTAACAGATAAGGCAGAGTCTGGAAAAGTAGAGGAATGAAGGACAACCAGAAGGGGCAGAGCCCCATTGTTAACCCCAAACCCTCAGCCAGCAGCCTCCATTAGTCCTTTGTCCCACCTCCCCATCCACCTTCCTCAAAAACCTTAGGAGCAAGGGTCTGGAGCAAGGGTCTGTTCTGTTCTAGTGGACTCAAGCAACTCACTGGTACCATCTGCTGGCCTTTTGAGGGAGTGCAGTTGTGAAGGCCAGCAACTTGCTGGAGTCTTTAGGGAAAAGGCCAGGGGGGTGGGGGTAGGGGGTAGGAATGGGGGGATGGTCAGTCTCCAAGAGCTCCTAACTATACTGGGTTCCTGGAGCCAGGAACTCACTTATCACCTTTTCCTCCCTCTGTGATCCAGCTCAGAGGCAGTTAAATTTGTGTGCTACTCAATGACAAAGAAGTCCTCTTCCTGTCAATGATCAGTCATTTCATCTGTATTCTAGACTTTATCCTACTCCATCCTCAAAGATAGCATTTGTGTGTGTGTGTGTGTGTGTGTGTGTGTGTGTGTGTATGCGCGCACGCGCACACACAAGTGACTAGGGCTTGAACTCAGGGCCTTTGTCCTCAACTTTTTTGTACTAGCCTGGGGCTCTACCACTGGGCTACAAACCTTCTCTTCCAGCTTTTTGCTGGTTAACTCAAGATAAGTGCCATATGGACTTTTGTGCCTAGGTTTGCTTCAAAACTTCGATCTTCAGATCTTAGCCTCCTGAGTGAGTGGTTTGGGTTTACAGGTGAAAGGTAGCTTTTTGGGGGGGAGGAGGTTTAAACTGACTTCCTACTGGAAGTCCTGTGTATGGATTGCACGTAGAGCAATAAACCACTGGCCACTTCCTAGCAGCGACACTTAGGCTTTGGCCTCTCGTACTGATAACCTCATCCTACATCCCTTTCCTCAGGCATTGTTCTTGTACTCTCTCCCCCATTTTTAGCCACACTTCCCTAAAGCTGTCTATAGCTGCCATAACTAATTTATCCTCCCCCACTTCAGCCTAGGGACCAAGTCTTCATCCTGACCTCCCCAGATGTAACCAGTAAATACTTCCTAGTCCTTAAATCCCACAGACCCATGGTCTTCCTTCAGCTTGGCTTCTTTATAGCCTCTTACTGGCATCTTGCCTACCTCGAGCCCTGTCTCCCTTTGGTGGATGGGAAGCCAGTGTGGCTGGGTTTCCTCCTACCTCTCCAGCCTCTTTCATGAGCTTGTCTTCCTCGTGGGTGAGCCTCTTGCTGTGAGGGCCTCATGTCCTGTTCACCCCTCCACCTCCCCCCCCCAATGAGCTCATCTTCCTACTCACATGTTGATGACGCCCACACTCCGTACTCCCCAGCCAAGGCCTCCTTCTTGATTCTAGTCCCACTCTTCCAGCTGCCCTGGATGCCTCCCTTGGACACACATAGGCTCCTCGCATACAACATGTCCAAAGCTGGTCTCATCATCTTCCCAAGTCCTGGCAGCCACCTCCTTCCCACCACATCCTCAACTTTCATTGTATGCACTGGCCTCGTGCTTTGTGCCAAGCCTGGGTTGGGTGCAGGAGGCCCCACAATAGCCCTTTATAGCGGGTCTCATTATCACTGTTTTTCATTCAAGGGAAAGGAGACTTCTTGAGGCTAAGAAAACCTCTCAGGTCTCAAATTCAAGTACACTTGGATCGGCCTCAACATTCAAACTCGAATGTACCTGATCCCAAAGTCTGTGCTCCTGGAGAGTGTGTTAGTGCAGAGCTGTTTGTAACATGGAATGTCTTATATTGGATTCCAAGGGCAAAGGAGAACTTGGGACACTTCTTAGCAAAGGAGACTCGTGTCCCATTTGGCCAGGAAATGGATTTGGCGGAGGTGGGAAGGGTGGAGGTTGGGAGTCTTGTCACTGCATCTAATAATGGCCAGGAACAAAGGTCTTACTTAGACAGAATGAGATAACCTCGGACATGTAAGGGCTAAGGCCAAAGGCAGCTGGATGCCCACAGGCTCAAGCACATCCCAGATTTGGAAGGTGAAATCACTGATGTTTTAGAGGTATCCTATCTAGGCTGAGTTGTGGAGTGAGGGGCAGTAAGATTCAGGAAGGCAGGAGCATCATTTGGGTTTTCAAATTCTGTCTGGCACCCTCCAATGAGTTATTTTATTGTCTCTAGTACTGGAGGCAGATGCTTGGGAATTAGGATCCTAGGAGGTGGGAAACAGAATTTTGTAGACGGTTCAAAGTTAGCCCCGGGGGACAAGCAAGCCCCAGCTGAGAGCACTTAGGAAGGGAGAGTGTTTGGCTGCCTTTGAGATCCCTCTTGGATCCTCCAGTGTGATTTTGGGTTATTAATAACCCTCTTTCACATTTATTGTGTGTTTCTG